CTAAAATTTTAAGTTATCTGTAAATTAAATTACAATTAATGATGTTTTCATTAGATTCCTAAGTAATGATAATTTATAAATAATTGTAAAAATCATTCTGAACACTCACTAGTCATACACTGGTAAAGTAACTACATAGCTCTGAGCATTACATTATTGCCATATTATCCTTAAGTACTATCATCGAATCAAATGATGATTTAATTGTCTTAAAAAATTAATTCAAAGTAGACTTAATCATTATACTACAATTTATGGAATAGAGCAAAGATATGATTTTTCAAAATATGATCAACTCCAATAAGTATTCCTCAATGTAAAGATTAGGGAATGCTCTCAAATTGTTAAATAGAAAGTAGAATATGAATTATTTAAGGATCATCAAAATCACCGTTTGCTCATGTAACTGGCGTATAGGTTCAGAATTCAGCCATCAAATAGTATTGCATGTTTTGAAGTTTTCTTTTATATAAATAATTCTTCTTTCTCCTATAAATATAGGGCCGCCTAGGTCTAATACCTGTTGCAATTACCTTTATATATTTCATGAGTATTGATCAGATTCACAAAATCTTAAATATTAGTTTAATTCTTTATTAATAATTATATCTTTTGCTTAAAAAATTAGGCCTATAAATTTTAAAGTATACCTATCCAACTTCCGTCTTATGAAAATTCAAACTTTACTGTATCATAGTTGCTCCAAAATTATTATGATAATTAATTGTCCTTCATAAGAGATAGAGATCCTGAGATTACCTCCCTCATGTGGTTTTTAGTTTATTTTGCTACTAACTAGAAGATGGTTTAGAAAGGGGAAATTGTGTCAGCAATAACACCCGCACCCATTTAAGTATTCTACCTTTTTCTTATTTCTTATTCTATAATTCATTACTTAATTTGGCTAATTTAAGTTGTTCTTTCTCCTTCATCTTTTTCTATTCCTCTAGTTATTCTTGAATTATTCATTTACTTATTTCATTAGCAAATTGATTATTATCAACTTTCTTATTTTTTAGACAGATTATTAATCTTTGAAATTCATCTCTAATATGTGAATATCAATTTTAGCTGGTATATATCTACACTATGATTTGACAAAAGTTTCATTTAATTTTTCAATTTGAAAATTCTTGTTCGTTTCAATTTTCTACTCTTACCTTTATTAGGAGTTGTTGATAAATCTAGTTTCTTTATTCACTAAATTTATAGATTCTTCTTCCTTTAAGTGACTAAGCAGGTTCAGCATTCTTTAGATTCTATTACTCTATTTATCTCGTTATTAATCTTCCATCTCCACCTTCCAATCTACCTAGAAAATGAGTTGTGATTTAATTTAAACTTCATAGACCTTACTGATATTGTCCTAACCAGGTTTACATTACAAAGATTATGATACCCTCTCGAACATAGAAAATTATTTTTGTTTTAATTTCTTTTAGATAATGGAAAAGTGTAAGGAGATTAGCTAGAAAATAAGGAATTTTTATGAGCAAACACCAGGTTTCTTGCTAACTATAGCTCCTTTATCATTTCTTCACTTTTGAGTGTTAATTGATTATATATTTTATCTTAGAATAACATTTTTTTAAACCATCTAAGTGTTAATAGCCTTGACTAAAGGCTTCAGTGTATTTCTTGCAAAATATCTGGTTTCTTCAAATTGTTTTTCTTTAAAGTAATGCTGTCTCTAGGGTGGCTTCTAGAAAGAAAATTTTTGCTGTTTTGCTCAGGT